TGACTACATCCTTGGTATTTAACAAAAGCAAAATATGAGTCGAAGGTGTGACACGAATCTGAATATGATATCTGAGCCACCAGCACCCCCTGGTGGACGATAAGTCAGCAAATGCCTGGTTCTGCTGTGAATCAATAGACTTATTGTACAGGCCCTCTCTCTACTCTTTTGTTCATCCTGGCAAAAATGTTCAATTTTTAAAATTAAAGCTTTAATTTACATAAAACCAAAATGATTAAACATTCAAATGTAGGTTTAAAAACTAATATAATTAGATATTTAAAATAAAAGCTATTTCAGAAATGAAGCATTTTTAAAACCAACTTGTGGATATTTGGAAGTATTGTATCTGCAAATTGGTGAATGTCTTGAAAATATGGGTAGTGTCATACATCTTTGTTATCCTTCCATTGTACTGGCTTTATAAATACAATTTTAATTGGAAAAAAGTTTTATTCATATAGAAGCCCTATAAGAACACATGTGAAAGGCACAGAGTCTACAGAGCCTGAAAGGATGCTCCCAGGAAGGCAAGAGTGGAGAGTATCTGATGGTATGCTTTTCCCAGCTGCAAGAACAGTTGGCCAAGTCAGGTACTCACTGTTCTCTTTCACAGCCCAACCACAGAGGCACTTCACCATGTGGAAACCAGTTACAGCTGTCACATGGATGAAAGGACAGAGACCATTGTGAACAAGAGGCCTGTGGAGCTGCTGGTGGAGCTTATGTTTTGGGTGTCCAAGAAGAACAGAGCTCAGCCTTAGGTGCTGCCTTCTGTGGTGATAGGAGATCAGGCCAGAAATCTTATGACCACTGCTCCAGGCAATGAATCCCTAGATCAGATATGTCTGTACAAGTATCCTAGATCAGATACTTATGTCCATATATTCTCTCGCAGCAGCTGATGCATCTTTTGATGGCATCTAAGCTTGTTGCAATGTGGTTACTCTAACAATGTGTACTTTCTGCAAATTAGGGCTTCTTTGTTATTTTTTAGTATTTGAAATAAAAAAAGTGAAATTGATTCCAAACTGATTCAACATTAAATATGCCAATGAAAGAAAAAAACCTCTTATATTTTTAAAATCTGATTTTAATAGCAAAGTGTTAAATGGTGGTACAAATTATTGAAAACGCTTATCACTTTTTATATACAATTTCTTGTTGATGATAATTGCTGTGTTTTGATTGTTTGTCCCGTCCCAAAGGCATCTTGAAATTTGATTGGCACTGTAGCAGTATTAAGAAATGAGATCTGTAAGAGGCGATTAGGTCATGAGGGTTCTCTCCTCATGGATTAATGGATTAATGTCTATATAGCAAGAGGGGGTTCCTTACAAAAGGATGAGTTCAGCTCTAGCTCTCTCTCTCTCTCTCTCTCTCTCTCTCTCACTCTCTCCCTTTCCTCTATGTAATAACACAGCAAGAAGGCTCTTGCAAGATGCTGGCACCTCATTCTTGGACTTCCCAACCTCCAGAATCATTAGCCAAGAAAATTCTGTTTAAGTTACCCAGTCTTGAGGTATTCTCTTATAATAGGACACTGTGAACTAAAATGGTGACTATAAAAGAAATTAGAGATACACTCATTAAAAATTCTTAATAAAGCATTGGAAATAGACATTTCTAACACAAAACCTGATATAAGGAATTTATATTCCAAAATAAGGTACGAATTTTCATTAATAATTATGAACATATATTTTTGGAATATTAGCTCATAAAAATTTTAAAAATAGCCTGGTGTGATGGCTCACACCTGTAATCCCAGCATTTTGGGAGGCCAAGATGGGAGTATTGTTTGAGCCCAGGAGTTCTAGACCAGCCTGTAAAACAACGAGACCCTGTCTCTACAAAAACTAAAGAGATTAGCTGGGTATGGCGGCATGCACCTGTAGTCTCAGCTAGTCAGGAGGCTGAGGTGAGAAGATTGCTCCAGGAGGTCAAGGCTTCAGTAAGCCAAGCTTGTGCCACTGTACTCTAACAAGGTGAAAGAGTGAGACCTGGTATCAAAAATTTTTAAATAAACAAGTATAATAAAAATAAATAAAATAAAATGGTTGTTACCAGAGGCTGGGGTGTGGGGAATGAGGAGATGTTGGACAAAGGGTGTAAAGTTTTAGTTAGAAAGGAGCTGTAAGTTTTTGAAATCTACTGCACTGTCTAGAGACGCTAGTTAATAATAATGCAATATATATTTCAAAATTGCAGCGGGAGTAGATTTCAAGTGTTTGCACTACAAAAAAATCAGTATTTGAGTTGACAGTATGTTAATGATCTTAATTTAATAGTTCCATGATGTATAAATACATCAAAACACCATATTGTATCCCATAAATATATAAAATAATTATCAATAAAGAATAAAAATAAATAAAAATTTATACATCTCATTTAAGAGGGATATTTTTGGCTGGTTGTGGTGACTCACTCCTGTAGTCCCAGCCGTTTGGGAGGCCAAGGCAGGTGGATTGCTTGATCCCAGGAATTCAAGACCAGCCTAGGCAACAAGATGAAATTCTGTCTCTACAAAAAATACAAAAATTATCCAGGGGTCGTAGCATGTGCCTGTAGGTTGAGGTGGGAAGATTTATTGAGCCTGGGAAGTTGAGGCTGCAGTGAGCTGTGATTGTACCACTGCATTCCAGCCTGGAAAACAGAGTAAAAAGAAAGAAAGAAAAAAAATGTACATGGGATTGTACTTGGGATTGAATTGCATAGATTTACACACACACACACACACACACACACACACACACACACACATGCATGCATGTTAAACTGCTGAATAAGTTCTATAGTTTAGTTAACATTACTGAACCTATGTCAATTTCCTGATTTTCCTATTGTCCTATAATCGTGGAAGATGTCTCTATAGGAGGAAACTGGGTGAAGAATTCAAGGGATTCTATGTATGACTTTTGCCACTTCTTGTAATTCTAATAATTTTAAAATGAAAAGGGAAAAAATTGGATACCTTCTCATGAGCACAAATTCCTATGTATAGGAAAATTCTGAAATCATACTGTCTTGAAGTGATTCTTGCATACTGATTTTTCTACGGATTTGATTTTAACCTGTTAAAAGCAAAGACATGTCGAGTTAGAGCAACCCAAGGTAAATAAATTTTATGAAATAGAAGATAATTCTATGTTAAACAAAATTGTTATTTACCAAATCTGAATTCAATTAAAATATCATTTTTATGTGTATAAAGTATGCAAAGGTAAAAATGGATTATTTCAAGGACCCACAATATTAAAAATGAGCATCACAATAAACTTTACTAAATTATACATTCTTGTTAACGCTAATATACTACCTAGAATTGTAATTAGCAAAACTTCTGACAATCATTATATTTACGTCTTTACACATGACAGCAGAGGCTGTCTCTCCTATGCCCTGTGGACTGTACAGTCCCTAATGAGAAGTTTATATCTACTACAAGTTGGACTGTAAACACAGGCATATAATTTCTTTCCTGAAGAGTTTGTCATGGTAGGGGAGGTCCTGAGAGAAACTTACTGCTGGATTTCTAATTAGATCCAAAAGAATTATAAGTTTTGAGCAAATGCCATGTCTTTATGACACGGTGGCTCTGATATGAAGTCTGGTTTCCTTCAAACCCTCCTGTCAAATTTAGAAATAATAGTTTGATCTACACCTCAGAATGACTCCTAGAACATTCAGAGTCTGAGAGCTATACTCAATGCTTTTGCCAGTCAAGGGAGAAGAAGACTCTTTGACTATATCTCGTCAACTTAGACACTTTCACTGCCAGTTCTTCCTCCAGGGCAGTGGAGGTGAAACAGACATCAAGGGTCAGCACTGAGCTCTCTGAGTGGAAGGGAGGTGAGTTACTCAAGTCTCTATTTTTCTTTCCTGGATGTTGCTGAAAAATGGAGGAAAATATTCTATTCAATAGCAAGAAACTCAGTGGTATGGCACTCTGACTCTGTGGCCTGTATTTCTCACATTGTTCTCTCTTGGCTTATTCTTAGCCTGTTAATGAGATAGAGATAGCAGTTCCAAGTGACACATTCAGAACAGAGCAATGTCAGGAAGGGAGAGATTTGTCTCTTTATTAAAAATATATTGACATGTGCTATACATATAGAAGAGTTTAAGTGTCATAAAAATACCAGTGTGGTAAAATTTTGCAAACTTAACCACTAATATAACTAGCACCCAAATTAATTATGTTTCTGTCATGCCCTCCTACAAAGACCTGTGAAAACACATTCACATTTTTTTCTTCATCCTCTGTCTGGCTAGGATGGGATAGAGGAGAATGTGTAGAAACACTTATGTGAGTTGTATGTGGTGAATTATGAAGCTTCGACTACCTAAGGTCTCCTGCTATCAACTGGTGACTTCATGGGCTTATAGTAAGGTACCTGGAAACCCTACAGGAGACCCCTGTCTAGGAAACAGAACATCAGTATAGTCTGTGCTGTAAAGAAATCCTCCCTTACAAGGCAGCAAATCACACTGCCATGTGTGTACCTATGCAACAATCTTGCATGTTCTTCACATGTACCCCAAAACCTAAAATGCAATTAAAAAAAAAAGAAGAAGAAGAAATCCTCCCTTACTTGGTGGGCATCACAGGGAAACTGAAGTGTCTAGTAGAATAATGGAAATATAAATAAAAACTAGGAAGTGCAGGGCCAGATGGAGGTGAGGGAGATGAAACTCATCCCCACAGACCAAGCTCAACAGTAGGTAGGCCTGTGCCTCAGCTACTCCACCCCTCTGTTTTCTAGTAAGGACAGGAGCAACTCTTTGTCACATTCAGCCTGTTCAGAGGAAAGACAGTCGTTGAAATGTTGAGGACAGGGTGTGGCAGTACATTCAGACTCCAAGAAACAAAGAAGAACTTAACCTAATTCCTACAGCCTGAGTGCCCTCCTCATGAATGAGGGTTTTTAAGAAGAAAGCTGTGTTCTCTATTAATGGTATTTCCTTTTGTCCTCCCAGATTTTTGAAGACAGAAAATGCTGGCTAGAAACAACTCCTTAGTGACTGATTTATTCTTGTTGGATTAACAGATCGTCCGGAGTTCCAACAACCCTTCTTTTTCCTGTTTCTAATGATCTATATTGTCACCATGGTAGGCAACCTTGGCTTGATCACTCTAACTGGTCTCAGTTCTCACCTCCACACCCCCATGTACTATTTCCTCTTCAATCTCTCCTTTATTGATCTCTGTTGCTCCTCTGTTTTGACCCCCAAAATGCTAATGAACTTTGTTTCAAAAAAGAATATTATCTCCTATGTTGGGTGCATGACTCAGTTGTTTTTCTTTTTTCTTTTTTCTTTTTTATTGCATTTTAGGTTTGGGGGTACATGTGAAGAACATGCAAGACTCAGTTGTTTTTCTTTCTCTTTTTTGTCATCTCTGACATCTTGACCTCAATGGCCTATGATCGCTATGTGGCCATCTGTAGTCCATTGCTTTATAAGGTCACCATGTCCCATCAGGCCTATTCTATGCTAACTTTTGCTGCTTACATAATGGAATTGGCTGGAGCCACGGCCCACACTGGGTGCATGCTTAGACTCACCTTCTGCAGTGCTAATATCATCAACCATTACTTGTGTGACATACTCACCCTCCTCCAGCTTTCTTGCACCAACACCTATGTCAACAAGGTGGTTGTTCTCATTGTTGTGGGTATTAATATCACAGTACCCAGTTTTACCATCCTCATTTCTTATGTTTTTATTGTCACTAGCATTCTTCATATCAAATCCTCTCAAGGAAGATCAAAAGCCTTCAGTACTTGTAGCTCTCATGTCATTGCACTTTCTCTCTTTTTTGGGTCAGCAGCATTCATATATCTTAAATATTATTCTGGATCTATGGAACAGGGAAAAGTTTTTTCTGTTTTCTACACTAATGTGGTACCCATGCTGAATCCCCTCATTTACAGTTTGAGGAACAAAGATGTCAAAGTTGCATTAAGGAAAGCTCTAATTAAAATTAAGAAAAGAAACATATTCTAATTAGAAGCAGTAATAATGTAGAACAATTGAAGTTCTTCAAATTTTTAAGTTTTTCATAAAGAGTTTTGTTGCTTCTACAGATGGTGTTATGTGTCATTTAGTAAACTTGTCACTTCATTTCCCTTATGAGATCACCTTGTCTCTTTTTTGTTTGTTTGTTTTTGTATCTCTGGCACTTCTCACAATTTTACTAAATAGATCATGGCTCATTTATAAAAGGAGTATATGCACTGATATTTTTCATTATCATCTTATCCCCTTCCTCTCTCCTGGGCTACCCTTAATTGGACAAATATGGTAAATTTCATGAATTGTAAACATGTTGAAGTCACGGCTTTCTCACCTAAACACAGAAGTGCCAGGTATAACAGAAGCATTCTTATTTTATCAACTTTGTTACCAATATAGGCAGCAGGATTTGATGAAATGTCTGCATTACAAATGATAGGTGGCTTAAAGCAGAATCAGATCTTCTTGATCTTATCCTTTTGTTCTATTTTCTCACCGTTTTTCTCTTTCTTATTCTGACTTTTTTTGTCTCCTTTGAGATTGACAAAATTTGTACCATATGCCTGTTGTTTCTGAGAACCTCTATCGTTCCAGTCCATTTGAAATAGCAGAGAATATGTGTAACTCCACCTATATTGCCAAAGGCAGCGTTAACAGAGGATGACCAGAGAAATAATACATGTGCACCTCAGGATTCCAGTAAGGGGGAACATAGTTTATATTATAAAACTTTCATTCATTACTATGTAAAACAACATTGAAAATTTTGGAAAAAAAATAATGTAGTTCCTACTGTAAATGTCATTTTTTACTCCTTTTAGGTAAATACTGCATTAAGTTTGTAAAAATATTTACACAATGATTTACTTATTCAATATGGTTTATCATGGAAAAATGTATATTAAAGTTAATAAACGATATTTCTATAAATATTTTGTGAGACTGCTTAAACTCTCTCTCACCAATAAGACATTAAACACATTTTATATAAAGGTTATTTCTCATAATTTCTTGATTTTTTCTAATGCTTTTCCTATTTATATATTTAGAATGCCAAATATATTGTAAAATCAAGAAATACTTGTTGAATTGTACTATTTTTATTTATTTATTTATTTATTTATTTATTTATTTATTTATTTATTATTTAGGGTCAGGATCTCGCTCCATCACCAAGGCAGGAGTCTAGTGACTCAATCATAGCTTTCTGCCACCTCCAACTCCTGGGCTCAAGTGATTCTTCTACTTCAGCCTATAGTTTAAGCTTTCCTGTGTGTATGGTTTTGGCCCATGTTTAGATTAACTTTTGTGTATAGCAGGAGGTAGAGGCCTTCCTCAGCTGCCTGTATACCTGGGACTACATTCACACACCATCATGCCTGCCTAATTTTTAAATTTGGAGAAAAAATTTAATTCCTGGCCTCAATCTTCCTGTCTCGGCCTCCCAAAGTGCTGGGATTACAGGAGTGAGCCACTGTGCCTGGCTGAATTGGAGTACCTTGCTTGTTAATAACAATAATAAATGTATTATTTTAAGTAATAATTAATAATGTATAAAAATTACAGTTGTAAACCTGAACAACTTTAGAGTTTAATTTATATTTTTGGAGGTGGACTGTAGTAGCCTTAGAGAAGGACTACTCAGCTTCCCATCAAGAGACCCATCAGTGGGGTGCACAGCTAATTGAAAATTCATAGCTGCACTTCTTTGGATCCAGCATGGTGTTTAGGCACAGTCCATTCTTACTCTGAGATGCCCTCAACCTGTGACTCAGCAGGGTGGGTGGGACATAAAGAGAGCTGGCCGATTTCCATCTAACATGGGTCTTTTCTGATAGGTAATCTTTGCTTAGAGACTCCCTATCCTCCTGACCAAGACTTTTTAGAACTGCTCTACAGTCTGAGATTTTCCTACCTGGTCTTTCCATTTCTTTCTCCTTTCATAGGTGACTTTCATCCTGGTCTGAGGCCTTCATCACTGACTCTTGCTTCCTTGAATTTCATCCTTAGTAGACACATAAAAAAATGTGTTGGAAGTCTAATCATTTCTTGACATCTCCTTCTTAGGGGACCCTAAACGACAAAGAAGACTGACATTACCTGATTTTACAAATTAGTATAAGGCTGTGATAATCAACATAGATTCATTTTGTTATAAAGTCTGGTGAACAAGTCCATGGGATAGAATAGAGGATTCAGAAACAGAGCCTCACTCATATGGTCAATTGTTTGCAGACCAAGCAACAGAGTAATCCCACAGGGAAAGAAAAGGCTTTGAAGCAATTGTTGCTGGACGTACTGCCTATCCATAGGGAAAACACTGAAGCTTGACCTCTGCCTCATACTACACGAAACTTATTCTAAAAATGAACCAAAAGTGTCTACAAAAAAGCTTAAGTTATGGGTCTTCTAGGAGAAAACATATGAAATTGTGTTGGTACAGTCATAGATTTCTTATAGATATTCTATAAAGCACTAAACTCCAAAGGAAAAAAACAAAGAAACTTAATTAAAATGAGATTGTCTATTTATCAGGAAAGTATTCATAGGCAAAGTACAGGCTGGAAAAATATTTTTAACTAAATATTAGATAAAGATATTGTGTCCACATATATAATACACAGCTCAACTCATTAATTAAAAGATAGATATCTCAACTCATTGATTGAAAGATATATCAAAAAAGAACATTTAATAAACAGGCAAATGATTTGACTGATGTAACCTAAAGAAGCTTGTCCAATCCACAGCCCATGGACCCCATTCAGCTCAAGGTGGCTTTGAATACAACCCAACAGAAATTTGTAAACTTTCTTAAATATTATGAGATTTTTTGTGTGACTTTTAAAAAGTGTTAGTATTAGTGTATTTTATGTGTGGCCTACGATAATTCTTCTTCCACTGTGACCCATGGAAGCCAAAAAATTGGAAACCCCTGTCCTAAAGGAAGACATGCAAATCAATAAACACCTGCCAATGTGCTTAATTTGCTGCAACCTCTTTGAAGTATAGTGAATAACTGGATAGCACTCCCTTACCTGCTGGTCTATCCCAGTGTGGTTGTTGATTTAAGCTATGTCCTCCAGTTAACTTTATCAGTATTAAAGCTGGAATTTTGGGTTGGGCATGGTGGCTCACACCTGCAATCCCAGCACTTTGGGAGGCCAAAATGGGTGGATCTCTTCAGGCCAGGAGTTCAAGACCAGCCTGGCCAACATAGTGAAACCCTGTCTCTACTAAAAATACAAAAACTAGCCGGGTGTGGTGGCGCACACCTGTAATCCCAGCTACTTGGGAGGCTAAGGCAGAAGGATCACTTGGACCTTGGAGGTGAAGATTGTAGTGAGATGAGATCACATCATAGCACTCCAGCCTGGGTGACAGAGTGAGACTCTGTCTCAAAAACAAACAAACAAAAAGAAACAACTATGAAATTGATTCGTCTCTATGACTGCATGTACTGAGAAAAGATTTACATGTATATGAAGCTATAAAGGAATAAGGAAAAAATATATAGAATTATAAGAAAAATAAGAACAATTATATATTTGATAATTTTTTTGTGAATAGTGTTTTAAAAATAGGCTTAACAAGGTAATACAGGAACATTGTTATAACCAAATTTATGATTATAACCCTATTGGTAGGAATTGATATTGGGGAGCAGGAAGAGGAGGTGTGTGTGGTAGACTTGAAAAGGTCCAAATTTTCACCTTTAATGAGTCTAAGTTAGAAAACTCTTAGAGTAATCCAAATTGGAGATGGAGAGAGACTGTGAAAGCTGTAGAATTGAGAGAAAGTCCAGATCATTCAAAGGAATGGATTCTCCAGGATGCGGAGACTGGAAGAGATAGTAAGGGAGAAGAAGGAGCTTGAGTTTAGTTTTGTTGATTGTGTGCACAGATAGTGACAAAAATAATTTATAAAATGATGACCTGCAAAGGAGCAGCCCTGCGAATTCTAAGAAAACACTGAATTCAATTTGGGGCACTTTGAACTTGAGACACATAAATAGACATAAAGTATAACTTTCCAAAAAACAGTTACAGAAGTCCAGGCTATACACATAAATAGACATAAAGTATAACTTTCCAAAAAACAGGCAGAAGTCCAGGCTATACAGACGGAGCAATGATTCTCAAATACAGGCAGTGTTGCTCCCCAGGGGATGTCTAACAATGGAGAAAATTCTGATTTAATGATTAGTGTGTCTGTGTGATGGGAGGGTGAGTATCACTGGCATCTAATGGGTACAATCAGGGATGCTGTTTGTCCTGTGCTACACAGGACAGCCCCACAACCAAAACTTACTCAAATGTAAAAAGTACCAAGATCAAGATACCCTGATTTATATACATATGGATGAATAACAGGGGTCGGGGGTGCCAACACCTGTCAGGTTCTTTTGATGTGCGAGGCACATTTCTAACACTTTATGTAAATGAACTTACGTAATTCCCACAATAATATTATGAGATAGTTTTTAAATTAGCCTTAGCTTATAGATATGCATAGGTTATATAGATACAAATACATATACAAGGGGCAAATAAGTTCTATCACTTGTCTGAGGTCTCAGAGGAAGTTAACAAGTCTGGATTTAAACTCAGCCTGACTTGAGGGCCCACTCCCATTTCCTCAACCATTTTGCTACATCTCTATTGAGGCAAAATCCACAAGCATGTATAGTGTTAAAGCTATGATCTAATATTTACTAACGCAATCCCAGGGTCTTTTGGGAAGGTAGCAGAAATGGCAACTGACTCTGTCCCGGATATTTGCCCTGCAGAATTTTGCACAGACTCCAGGGGATGATGACAAAGTGAGGCACTCACCCTTCTGCATTGGGGATTAGGACTTCCTGATGTCAAATTATAAACTGAGTGAACACTGAGTCCCAAAGGAGCCAATGTTGGATCTGTGACAGGTTGTAAACACACGGTTGGTAATATTTACCCTCAAGGGGCTCATTAAAGTTGGTAGGAAATCAC